CTTAGTTGACCCTGAATGAATGGGGCTCCCTGGAGCTCTCTTCTCAAAGCAAAGTCTTTCACTTTTTTACCTTTGGGGCTGCAATGAGTGGGTCCTTTGTGATTTCTGAGATGTCCCTCAAAGTGTCTTTCCTATTATCCCAATGTAAAGTACTTGGCTTCTTTTTAATGCTATATTTTTACCAATCATGCTTGCCTTTGCCCCAGCTCTGCAGATACTTCCTTTCTGGCAAAACTCCAAACCTTTTCAATAGGCTTTTTGCTCCTGATTCTCACTGTACATCTGACGAAAGTAGACAAAAGTACCAGTGCCACAGCTTGAGGCTGCCTTGATATTTTCTCCACAAAATTAATTAGTCTCCAGTCTCCAGCAAAGTCTCAGGACATGGGCAAAATGTAGACAAATTTTTGCTGGAGCATAACACGTATAGCCTCAAGTTCAACTATCAGTGATGTCCTTGCTTCCAACTGAAACTCCTGATCCTGGCCTTTACTGTGCACATCTCTGTTAGCATTCTCATTTTTTGAGCTCCAGTCAGAATCTCCTATGAAGCTTGGCTTACAGCGTTTTAATGCTTCCCTTGCCAGCATCTCCAAACCTTTCCAAACCTCTCCTATAAGTCAGTTCCAAAGGCTTCTAAACCACATGGTCAGTAATAGTCACAGAACCACTTTAGGTACCCAAATCTGTCTCAGTCATTTCCTTGTCAATGAGCCAAAACACTATACCCACAATTTAAAGAAGAGACTTATTTTGACTCAGGGTTTTTAGAGGAGTCAGCCCATAGTTATCTGACACCAAGGCAGGCTCTTATGGAAGAAAACTGTTCATGCCATGGTGACCAAGAAGCAAAGATAAAGAAGGAAGTGGTCAGGGAGGGAGATACACCTTTTGTCTTAATTAACTTTTTTTGTTGTTGTTGCTGAGACAAAATACCCAGCTCCCACAAGTTAAAGGAGGAAAGGTTTATTTGGCTTATAGTTTATAGAGGTTTCAGTTCCTAGTTGGCTGGCTCCAAGGCAGGGTAGCATGGCAGAGAGGAATCGCAGAGGAGAAACAATTCATGGCAAACCAGGACAGTTAGAAAGTAGCCAGCAGTGAAGTAGCAACCAGCAAGAGCCAACAAGCCTCTTTCTGCCTTTTATATCTTATCCACACCCTTAATCCTGGCACCCTTAATCCTAGCATTACACTATGAATCAATCCCAGTGTCACACACTCCAGATGTAGCCACCTCTGAAAAGCCCTACCTATGACCACATGAGGCTTTTGAGGGACACCTAGACACAAGCTGTAGCACCTTTCAAGGTCACATGTCCAGTGACCCACTTACAACCAGACCCTGCCTCCTAACAACATATTCAGCTATTGATTTGTCAGTGGATAAACACATTCCCACCAACTTGTATCACTGGTGGTATAAGCTCCCCGATGGGATAGTCGTGCATGTACAGCCCCATCATGAATGTGTTTATCCACTGAAGAGTATAATGCCCCCATGGTCCAATCACTCTACAAAAGCCCCACCACTGATCTCAAGGGCTTTTAGGGGAATATTTTAGATCTAAACTATAACAATCACTCCATCGCTACTGTTTTATATGACCTCTTTTTTCAATAATGCCTTTTGTTGGAATTTTAAATATCTTGGTCTGATTCTCTAGTTTTCTCATCATTTTTATGTTCCTATTTTTCATCTCTTTTTGGGAGCTTGTTTCTACCTTATCTTCAAGCCTTCCTCTTACATATTTTTATATGAACTTTCTTATTTAATGTTTAAGTGTTTTCTGACTGTTCCTTTTTGTAGCACCTTTTTCTTGTTTCGTAGCTGCAAAGTGTCTTTCTGGAAACATCAATTGTAATTCTTTTGAAATTCTTTTCTGAGTTACTTTTACTTTTTGTTTTTTGTTTAATTTCATTGGAGATTTTCCATAGATATGGGATTAGCTTTAGCTGTCTATAGATATTAAAGAGAAAATTTTTTTTCGGTCCTGGGGATCGAACTTGGGACCTTAACACTTGACAGGCAGGCAGTGGAACCACTGAGCTAAATTCCCAGCCTGAGACATTCTTAAATGTAAGTGGGTGGAACTTGCTTATTCCTGTAATTCCTGGTAGGGTGATAGGATAACAAGGTGGATTTTTAGTAGGGGACCCCCAAATGTCACTTTCTTGTAGCATTTGTCTTAGACCATTCCATTTGTCCAGATGTAACTTCAGTAGTCTCCTGCCCTGCAATATATAAGCATAGAACAGAGGCAGAAAATAGAGGTGAGCCTCAACCTCTGCCCTCCTTTACCCTATGCCAAACTTCTTGGTCTGCTTAATCTCTGCAGAAAATAACCTCCAAGTGTGCTGCCAGAAAGGAAGCAGTAATGAAATGATTACTTGGTTGTCAGGGTAGGAGAGCTAAAGAATGGGGTGCAAGGTGGGGACTTACTATTCTAAATATAAACTTTCAACTAACCCCTTTCTTTTCAACCCTTCATTCTCTGTAATACTTTGTGCCACCGATGGTGGACCTTTTCAGAAATCAACATTAAACAAACTCACTTATTGTTAGCTTCTACCTCTTCAGAAACCCTAATGCCAGCTTTCTCTCTCTCTCTCTCCTGGTTTCTTGGTCCCTAAAGATTTATACCTTTTAAATGCCCTTTATTAATAGTTTAGTGCCATTTTGAGATTGACTTTTCATGTTTAATCAAGAGAATTATTCTTAAAGGATATAATTTTTATGCTTTTTAAAAAAAATTTTATACTTTAAGGAATTGAGAACATGCCCCAATTGCTTCACTAAAAAGTTACAGTTTTTTATACATTTTGAGGGGACATGTACTTCTTCAGATTACACATTTAAAATTACTATAAAGAAATGGCATTAGGGCCGGGGATTTAGCTCAGTGGTCCCGCTGCCTGCCTCGAAAGCACAAGGTCCTGAGTTTGATCCCTGGTACCAAAAAAAGGAAAAGAAAAGAAATGACATTACTTATCAACTATCAGCATCACATCCTATTGGGATTGATTTGTAGAAATGGTTAGTGGCCTGGCCTGAGTCTGCCACATCTTTTTTTCCTTTTTCTTTGAGGGTAAGCATTAACACTCATAAAGAAGCTGGCTAAATGTAGGAATTTTCAATAGTATAGGGATAGTTTTTTCCAAAAAGCCATCTCACCTCTATGGAAATTGACCCTATAAATGTAGTTTCTTTAACACTCCACCCTCACCAACTGAAGTAACTGCTCTCAGAAAACAAATACTATATACCATTTCCTTTAGGATGACCTAAGAATTTAAACATAGCATTTAAATCTGATGCTGTATCTTCACTAAAGCAGTTCTTCAAGCATGTTTCTTTCTTCTTATGCATAATTCAGAATTATGTTTTCATTTTTTCTTCCACAATTGAGGAATCCTTGCATATCCTTTAAACAGAGCCCATTTTTAGATTCAAGAGGTGTTTGAATTAGTCAGCTTTGTAAAACTAGCATAAATGCAACCAGCACATGTAACATACTCCTGGAGAATGCCTCCATAAGCGAAAAAAGAAAATGTAAAATAATTCTAACCTTGCTTCCCCAAAACCCTTTTACTGACAAAGAGATATTACATATGCTTCCATCGTATCCTGGCCTTTGCCTTAGGAGCATGAGCTGATTGCTAGCCTGTCTGTAACTGGACTCTTATGACCATTTGGCAGATTTTGTGACATATTAGTGGCCCTGGTCTAGTTTCTTACTGGCATGTACTAACATCAAATTGACATGTATGTACAGCCATAAGACATCTAAATAAGAAAGGTGATGATCTCTTTTCTTTAACTATGATGCAAGTGCTCTTTGCAGGTTTTTTGTTGTAACTGAGAAGGAGCTAAAACTTTAAGAGTCCCATGTTATTTTAATTCTAAACCTTTTGAATCTACTTCTCCAACTAAAGCAAAATCTAGAAACTTCAGATCCTTGGCCCAGTATCTTGAAGAAATTATATAGCATTATATCTCTGTCTGACTTGAGACCATAGGCATTCCTAATCCGTCATCTGTCTTCTGCAATCTTTTGTAAAAAGATTCATTTGTGATCATTTTAAACAGAGCCAGTGAAGACCAAATTGTTTTAGTTAGTAGGTCACCAGCTTACACAGACAACTCTCTCATTGGAATGGAAACTTAATCAAAGGAAAACTCAGAATAAGTTTTATTTACATTTTATATCTTACTTGGCAACCTGTTTGAAAATATTGCATAAAAGACCCAGCACAGGAAACATTTTATAGCCCTGCTTATGATTGATATATATGGAAACTAAGGCATTCTACTTTATAAATCAAGGTCTTAGTCCAGATTTCCTGTTTTTCTACCTTAAAAAACAAAACTCAGGATAAAAATAGTACTAAACTGTATAAAGTACTCAGGGGTCAAGGTAACAAGCAAAATAAATTACTCTGGATGCTATGGTAAAGACTCAGACCATTAACAGAGACATTCATTTTATAATCACTGTTTTAAAAACACAGTTGGTATAGCTAGTTTTATGAAAATATTGAAAAGAGGAAAGACATGGATAATACAAAATAATAACCCAGTGACTTGGAAATGCAGGCTCACACACAGCCAATTTACGGAAAACCTCAGTCACTCAAGTCAAAGACTTTCTGCCACATCATAATTTTAATCACATCTATTTCTGCCTGTATTTTACAAACTGGCCACTGTCCTCTGTTTAATACACTGTACACATCAAGCATATACACTCACCCACACATTTTGATCTTCGTTCAAGGATTTTCGAGGCTTAAGTCATCTGCACTTTCTGACTTTCTGGAGTTCTCTCACTTCAGGCCTTATATAATAAGCTCCAGTGGCTGATCCAGCATCTCAGGCTGTAGATTATTACCAAGGTATTGTGAGAAATGCATACATGGCAGAAAGCCCTTGAAAATTCATACCATTCATTGACACTTCATCACATGAAAATAAAAATTTTCTCATTTGGCTTTCTTTATAGTTTAAAGAATGTTTCTTGATACAACCAAAGGAAACAAAAGAAGATGCCACCAAGACCAAGAAGAGGAAAAAGGTAATAGTAACAATTTTTTACAGTGGTATGGCCCCATGCAGCCTCCATCACATTTTCATATATCATACTTTTATATATCACACTTTATAGATACAGAAATTCTAAGATTCAGTGAAATTCAGTGCCTTTCCTAAAGTCACTACCAATAAGTATTCCTGTTGGAACTAAAACTCAATTCTTGTAACTCCTATTAGAGTTTTGTGGAGCACCAAGCCTCTTTGTTACCCATCTTGTGTTTTCTTTGTGGTTAGATGTCAGAACTGGGTTTCCAATTCTAGAGGTTCAGAGTTGTTTTCCCTTGTTATCCCTCTGGATCTATCCAAGAAAAGAATTTTCAAACCTTCTTTTCCTACACATTCCTATTTTTGAGACCTTATATTTTAAAATATTAATAAAAAAATAATAAGCACATGAAAGTAATATAAGGCATTTCTAACTCGAATTTGGAGTCATAATTTTTAGTAAAACTCCCCTTCTATTTTAATATTTGCCTCTGAGTATAGAGAAGTCTCTGTTGCTCCTATACAAACTTTTTTTTTTCCTTAAATTCTTTTATTGGTACACTTTAGGTATACAGTATGTTTACATTTATCTTTGGGTGCTTGTACCTGTACATGATGTATCTTGGTTCTTATTTTTTCCCCATTACCTGTGCGCCCTTCACCCCCTCCACCCTTCCCTATTGACATAGACTTCATTTCCTTTTTTTTTTTTCTTTTCTCATAATTTTTCCTTTCCCTTCTTTCCTTTCTCCTTCCCCTCCAACCACCCTTACCCTTTTGGACCTTTTCTTCCTATTTCAAATTATCAACTATTCATTTTAATCATTTTAACCGTTATTTATACTTTCACTTTCTCACACTAGACAAACTAATCGGTATTTACACCTGTGTCCTATTTATTTCACTTAAGAGTATGGCCTCGATATGCATCCATTTAGCTATAAATGACTCTAGTTTCTCATTCATTATGGCTCAGTAGTACTCCATTTTATAAAAAAAAAACAAAACACATCTTCTTTATCCAGTTTCCAGTTGATGGGCACTTGGGCTGTTTCCAAGCTTTAGCTATTACAAACTGTGCCACTATAAACATGGGTGCACATATATCACTGTGGTATGATTCTTTTAATTATTTTGGGAAGATACCCAGCAGGGGAATAGCTGGGTCAAATGGAGCCTCTAGTCCTACTTCTTTGAGGTATCTCCATACTGATTTCCACAGTGGTTGCACCAGTCTACATTCCCATCAACAATGGAGAAGGGTTACTTTCTCTCCAAACCCCCGCCAGCATTTGTTATTGGTTGATTTCTTGATAGCAGCCATTCTTTGTGGAGTGAGGTGGAATCTCAGTCTTGTTTTCATCTGCATTTCTCGGATGACCAGTGATGTTGAACATTTTTTCATATATTTATTTGCTGCTTTTACTTCTTTGTCTGAGAAATGTCTGTTAATTTCAGTTGCCCATTTTTGAATTGGGTCTTTGAATTTGGGGCATCTGATTTTTTTCAGTTCTTTTTATTATATAAACTTTTTTATGGCACAGCCTTAGTATGGTTAGCTTTCACCTTCCACTACACTTATGAAAACAGCAGTGTAATTCTCTCTCTGCCAAGAAAGTTCTCCTGCTGAAGTCAGCAGAGGAAATATGATTGGGATTAGAAGAAAGAAGATGGACTCAAACCATTTACTTAGCAGCAAGTTTTTAGAAAACCAAGAGTGTGTGTGCATATGTTTTCTTTTCTCACAAATGGTCAAATAGGAAGACAGGAGATGTCAAATTGGCTGAGGGCTGGCAAGTGCTTAGAGAAGTAACTTTAACTTTTCTTTGATAATTCATACACTAATGACCTTCATGAGTGTTAAATTCTGGTGGCTCAAGGTCAGAATTCTAGCTAAATAGCTTAGCCTTGGCTAAGGTCATGCTAAAATTGCCCACTGATGACATATTTTTAAAAGTTAATACCTTTGGCAGGCCCTTGAACATTCTTGGCAGTAGCACAGAAATAAGGATTTCATGGAAAGAGGGAAAAGAGTTAGGGGTAGAAGAATGGCTCCTTCTGGATCTTTGGTGAAAAGTTAGAAGGAAGTGAGAAGGGAAATTTATGAAGAAAATGAAAAGAACAACTGTATGTTCTCAGTATATTGGAGGCATTAAATAAGTGTTATTAAATGAGATCAAATCAGAACAAATATGTGATAGTACAGTGAACCCTTGACTTACAAACTTGATCAGTTAGTTCCCAGTTAGTTGTAACTCAAGTTGGTTTTAAGTCAGTACAGCTGAGATCTGGATGTTTACCTGGGTACACACTATAGATAACAAGAGGCAGATTAATCTTGCATTAATCTAATTAACCCAAGTTGCTCGTATGTCAGACCAGTTGTAACTTGAGGGTCCACTGTATTTCCTCTAATATCTATTCTACTTTTTATAGGGCCACTTTTAAGATTGTCAGCCTCCCAATACTTAAGAATCAGGGATGTAAAGTTCACAGGGGTGCAAAGCTCCTATGATCATAGTACTTCTGCAGATTTAGTTCTAATGCTATAAATTCAAACTGAAACTCAGCACCTCAAAATTCAGGTAGGTAAGAAATCCTCAAAATGGTGCTCTTCCAAGAATTTAGATCATTTAAGACTAAAGAGAACCAGGTGCAGTGGCACATGCTTCTAATCCTAGCTACTCATGGTGACAAATTTGAGGCCAGGCTAGGCAATTTAGCAAAACCCTGTCCAAAATAAAAAGGGGTGGGGATGTAAGCTTGGTAGCTTAATGGTATAGCGCCCCTGAAGTCATCCCTGGTACCAGCTAAGGGGGGAGGGGAGGCTAAAAGAGAAGTTTCCATAGCAACCAGATTTATTAGCTTTTGCTGAAAAATACCATTATGGAGTCTCCAGCAAAATTCAGTTCTTCTAGAAGTCATATACTAAGGGGATTAAGAGTTATCAGCTATCACCAAAAGCTATAAGCAGTTTAAATGCCAGAAGAATGAAGCTAAGCCAAATGTCATTCTAAAACCTATTTTTCTATTATTTTTTCTTTCATATCTTAGAAAAAAATTACTGATGTTCTTGCAAAATCAGAGCCAAAACCAGGGACACCTAAAGATCTACAGAAGCTGGTGAATGACTATTATAGCAGTAATCGCTCAGTGATTGAATTAGAAGAACTGAATCTACCAGGTACAGCCATGCTAAATTTTCCTAAGAATGAAAACCAAAACATCCCATTTTTTCTTTACTGTATGTTATGGTTAGGTAGTCTAAGCAGTAAATTAATGTATTATCCACATGTTAATACTCCTTTCCTCACCTGATAGTCTTAGCATTTGGATGATTTCCTGCTTAAAATGACAAATGGTATTTGTTGAATTTAATACTGAGCTATTATTGTATTTTCTTTCTGTGTTTAAAAGAGAAATTGTAGCATATGTGTTTTTAGCAGACTCTTCAGGGAATAAGAACTCCTAAGAAGGATAGAAGTCAAACTAAAATAAAAATAAAACATACCTTTAAAAGTATAGATATGCGGGCCAGGGATTTAGCTCAGTGGCACCGCATCTGCCTGGCAAACGCAAGGTCCTGAGTTTGATCCCTGGTATCAAAAAAAAGGTATAGCTATGCAACTTGGTTGACTATAACTTTGCCATAATTTTCATCTTAGCATGGATTTCCTAGTTATGGCATTGTTTTTAGGGTAGTATTTTGAGATATAGCTCTGACTTTTTCAAGCAAGCTATCTAAATATAGTGATAAAATTCTGCCTATGTAGCAAGATTTAGAGATCATTAATCCAGGTGATTCTTTAGGCCCATTATAGTTTTAGATCTACTGCCTTAGAATATTTATAATTAAAATTTATTGCAAAATTATATCGATGTTAAAATTGTGATATATTCTGTAACTCTTTTGGGCAAGGATGGAATAAAATAGATGTGGTCATAAAATCAAACTATAAATAGTGTACCCCTATTTAGATGACCTATCTATAGATACTAGGGATAACTGATGCTACTTTTGGAAATGGTCCAGGTTTGTTTGATTTCCTTTTTCCATTATAACTTTATGTCTTACAGAAGCTTGAGAAGCTAGAAAATAATCAGTTGCCCGAATTTTTATAATTCTTTTGTGATACGCTTTTATTAAAATTGCGCATTGGGTTTGGAGACACACTGACCCCTTTGTTTCTATTCCAAGAAAATTGCCTTTGGGGAACTGAGGAGTGCAGTGCTTTTGCACATAAACAAGATCTGGGGTTTTAGGCTCCCTGAGCCCCGATGGCTCCAGCAACAATTAGAAACCACTCTTCTCAGCACTCAGCTCCTCCAGTGTGATGCCATGTCCTGATGGCTCTCTCACAGGAGCCAAGTCCTACAGCCAACCCACTTCTCAAGATTTAGCTGGTTTAGTTTTTACTGAGTTGGATCACTTTTTACTAGGTCAGTTTTCCATTCTTGTTTTTTATTAGAGCATACTTTGAACTTAAGAAGGGTTTGTGAGTTAAGAGGACCACTGCTATTATGCAATCTTTGGAACATCATAAACATTGCTTTTCTCCAGAATTGTTAGTGCTAAAGGTCAGAAGAAACTTTTAAGCACCCTTCTAAGTTCCAGGGTGAGTATACTATTGTTTTATTAGAATTCAGTAATAAACAAGAATGTGTAGTCATGGGTTTGTTTAGAGAGGAAGAAAAGCATGTTAGAAATACAGGCTTTCATTTTCAGTAAAGATACTGGGTTATGGGTGGGGATTTAGCTCAGTGGTTCCGCTGCCTGCCTCGAAAGCGCAAGGTCCCGAGTTTGAACCCCAGTACCAAAAAAAAAAAAAGATATTGGATCATTCTGAGACACAGTAAACTAAAGAATCACTGGAAGCTTTAGGAGAAAAAGCCCTTGTTACTGCTACAATAATGAAACCAAGGAAAGAAAGGACGACTATGCTAGGTGAGAAGGAACCTAAGCAGAAGGTGGATATAAATAATAAAATATCCCTTGTATTCAGTTTGTCAAGTGTCAAACTTGGTTTTAATTTGAGGTTGTTTGTGTCTGTAAGGCAAGAATATGTCTTTTCAATTAATACTGTGCACTATACATGTTAATCTTTTACACATGAGCACTTAATTAGGGTTTTGAGGCTGGCTTACTGGGAGCTAATAAACCTCTGCCGTCTCCTGATAACTATAGAGTGGTTTAGATCAGTGATTCTAAATGCTTGTAGGCTAGCTGCAATTGAATCACCCAGGAACTTTTTTTTTTTGGTACCGGGGATCGAACTCGGGACCTCGCGCTTGTGAGGCAGGCACTGGAACCACTGAGCTAAATCCCCAGCCTTTCAGGAACTTTTTTAAAAGCATCCCAGACCTGCTCACTATGCAATGGAGAGTCTATCCTAGGAATCTGTATCTTTTGTGAAAAACTATCCAAGAGAGTCTGATCATATACAAGCTTAGGGAATTACAATTTTAAAGACCATCTAAAGCTCCACATCAGCATAAGATACAACAATTTTGAAATTGCTCACATGATGTGACTTACATGTGCTGTCACAATATAAATTTAATTTTATTTAGAAATAGTTTATTCCCTGACAATCTGAGAAAGAGGTTGATAATCATGATGTTGCTTTTTTATACATCTCAGGTACAAAGTTAATAATATTACATAATTGATACAGTGATGATGGTCTTTGGTCAGCAAGGGCCTTGTTTTATTTTAATGTGTACTCTTTAACATGAGGTTGTAGAGTATTGTATCTTGATACATTATTCCCATTCTTCCCAAATACTTTTTCCTTTCCTCATTCTAATATATTGCCATACATTTTCAAATATGTATATATTTTTATAGAATATGTCATGTTTCTGTGGGTACATTTTAAATTTTAACTAAATGACCTTGTGCTTATCCCCATTGTTTCTTCACATGTTTTTTAGATATACCTGTGTGACTTTATGTACATCTAATTCATTGCTTCTAAATGGTACATAGTATTCCAATGTTTTCATCTACCATATGTTACTCATCCATTTTCCCATATATGAACACTTACGTTGCCTCCCACATCTCAGTATCACAAATATTCCCAGGATAAATATCCTTGTATATCTCCCTTTATAGACCACAAAAGAATTTCTTTCCTTTAATTACCCCCAAATGGAATTTCTTTCCATTATTTATGCTGGCATCCTTGAGTATATAATCTTAATATGACTACTTTCCAGAATAAGTATGCCAGTTTACATTTCCAACTAAAGTTGACAAGCATTCACATCACCCTGCATTCCCAGTACTTGGTATTACACATTTTTCTAGCATTTCCCATTTCACTTGAGTGTTTTGTCTCATACTTGTATTAATTTGCACTTCTCTGATGACTAATGGATTTAAGCATCTCTTACAGACTTGTTGGCCACTTCACTATGCCTTTGTAATATTGTCTATTTCATAGATTTGAAAAATAAAAGTGTTTCATCAGTCTTTTGAGTGATAAAAGCTTCTGTTTCACTACTGTAAGAAATTATGGTTATTCAACCCAGCTATTCCCCTTCTAGGTACCTTCCCAAAAGAGTTAAAGACATTATTACCCATATTTCTAGCAGCACAATTCATAATAGCTAAATCTTGGAAGCAGCCTATATGTCCATCAACAGATGAATGAGTAAAGAAAATATGGTATTTATACATGGTGGACTACTATTCTGCCTCAAGGATAACCTTGAGTCATTTGTAGGAAAATAGATGCAGCTTAAGACATAATATTAAGTGAAACAAATCAGACACACAAGCTCAAATGTTGCATGGTTTCTCTTATTACTAACCCAAAATATAAAGAGCAAAATAAAAGACAGATAATAAGAAGTAGGGAGATAGATCTTTTGCAAGTGAGAAGGGGATCAAGAGATGGAGAGAGGGAAGATGGAGGTGAAAAAAGAACTGAGATGCATTATATACATGTACACACTCCCCATAAGGAATGTAAACTTACGTACTGCAACATGAGCCAATAAAAAATGAAGAATAAATAGCAAAATGAAAGAGAGGAAACAGGGAGATAATATCTTTTACAAAAGGGAAGTGAACCAAGAAATGGAGAGAAAGAGGGAAAAGGAGAGAAGAATGAAGAAGAGAATTAAGATGTGTTATGTACATGTACCAACTCCCCATGAGGAATGTAATCATTATGTACTACAAATATGTACTAATAAAAAAGTAAAATTGAAAAAAGTATAGCCATTTTGTGGAGGGTTAAAACTATTTCTCTTGATGCTGTTCTCTTAAACCCATTAAAATGCATAATGAACTTCACTAATTTTTATACCTTGCAAAGAATACATGATTTATACTTAAACTGGTTTGATTGCATGTTTGCAAAATAGTCTACAAAGCCTGTTTCTCATATTTTTAGATTCCTGTTTCCTCAAGGCCAATGATTTGACTCACAGTTTTTCATCATACCTAAAAGAAAGTAAGTAAACTCTGCTTTTTAACAAAATTATTCACCAGTATTTTATTCTATTAAAAATAAGGTTTGTCTCTTTTTAAACTTTAAAAACTACATTTAAAATCAAAAGTTTCTATCTTAAGTGAATTTTAAGTGGAGAATTTTTTTTAGCTCCATCTAGAAGTTAATTTTTAACCTATTTAAATTTATTCTTATGTTGGTCTGGCATTGGAAACTTGAACTTTGGTCTCATTTTTGTTTCGTAACACATTGGAAGTATTGGTCTGGGAACCTAGAGAATAGTGTTCTAGTCCCATGTCCCCTAGTAATCTGTTGTTTCACCAAGGACAAGTCACTGAATCCTCCCTTGGACTTGATTTTGTTTTGTTTTGTTTTGTTTTTTGGTACCAGGGATTGAACTCAGGCCCTTGCGCTTTCAAGGAAGGCACCAGAACCACTGAGCTAAATCCCCAGACCTGGACTTGATTTTGTTAGTTGAAAGATAAAAAAGTTGGACAATGATTACTCTATACCAGCTGTGAGATCCTGAAATTCTTTGCACATGTTCGGAACTCAGAACTATTCCAAAATCAGTCTAATTCAATCTTTTCAGTATGAATTGTGTGTAGCCAGAGATAACTAGATTATTCATATCAAGTTATCATTTATTTGTGGCCAGTGATGAAACATGCTAGATATAGAGATTTAACATTCTTTCAAACTGTAAGCAGTTCTGATGATAATTAACCTGAGTTCACAAGCCTCTCAGCACCAAAATCAGCAAATGTCAATGTAGGTAATAATAGAATCAACCCTGCTGGATTATATGAACTTTAAAATGTATGTTAAATGCTTAGCACACTGTGTGAGAAATGTTGGCTTTTATTTAAATGTCAGTTCCATTTTATGTCTTATAGTAGATGTCACTTTAAAATTTAATATTATTGAATCAGAATTCTTCTCCTACTTAGTCAAGACTATCTTCAAGTATCAAACATAAATTAAAATATTGAAAATATATTAGTATAAATGTTTTTAATTATTTCTAAAATTAGTCATATTTAAGTGCTTGGTATATTATGTATTGTGTTATAAATGAATTAATTTGTGTTGTAAATGAATTAATTTCATGTTATTTTAATCTAATATCTAGAATAACCAGAAAATAAAATTACAATGAACAGTGGTCATTATGTTCTTTTTGCTTAAACACTAACAAGTAATTGGAGAATGCTCAGCTTTGGAAACTTTTGCTATATTTAGAGTAAATTTCTGTGGTTGGTTGGTTGGTTTATTTGTTTGTTTGTTTGTTTTAGTTTGTCCTAAGTGGGTAAAACTTCGGAAAAACCACAGTGAGAAGAAGTCGGTCCTGATGCTGATCATCTGCAGCTCAGCCGTCCGAGCTCTAGAGCTCATTAGGTCAGAAGCTTCATCAATATGACTTCCTTCTTAAGTGTTTGTGAAATAACTGATGTGTGACAACCTGATGTGTTGTACATGCTAGAGCTAAAGCAGTGAGCAAAACAGAGTCCCTGCCATTCCTTTTCCATACTTTATTTTTTCTCTATATAACTTATCACTCTACCTAACATTATAATGTATGTTTCCTTGCTTACTATCTTACTGTCTTCCTACAGTAACGTAAATTCCATGAGGGCAGGGACTCTGTTTTGCAGTAAAAGACATATTGCCAAGAACCATAGGATAAGTACATTCAAAGTGAGGGAGAGTATCTTGAGGGCGATAAATAGCAATGAGTCTTTTGTAATAAATTTTTTAATGTACACATTCACTATATCATTTTATCACTTCTTGTATAAGGGAGAGAAAAGATTGTAAACATAGAAAAATTCTTGAATAGGAAAGACTCAATATTATTATAACATCTGTTTTACTTGAGATACACATATTAAAAAGTCTCAATTATCAAACCAGTATGGAACTGTCACCTGCATGACAGATCAGATCAGTGGAAAAGAATTAAAAGTTGAGAAATAAACTTAATTTTAAGTTGTGTTTTAAATCTTTGCAAATTTCTTGGGTTTTTTACGCATTGTCTTTTGTTAAAATTATGTTTTATTCTTCTATGTGTTGCATTTGGACTTAGTTGCTTAAAAATGTTGTAAAATCGGTCTCTTATGAAATCGTCTCAGATAAAGCTTCCTCCCTCACTGACGCCCTGATTCCACACATGTGTGCAGCCCTCTTCCTGCCAGCTGTTTGGCCCTAGAAACCCTGCCAGGCCGCTCCTCTGCCTAGGAGCTCCTGACCCTTCATTTAACTCACTTCTTCAAACCTGTGCCAATCCTCCTGCCTCAGCTTCCTGAGTACTGGGACTACAGGTGTGTGCCACCATGCCAGGCATCAAACTTTTTTTTTTTTTTGCTGAGAATGGCTTTCTTGGTGACTGCCTGACTGGATAATAGTATTCAGATACTGTTCTTGTACTTATATTTTGCTAAAAAGACCTTTTTATGTATCTGTCTCCTTCAACGGCTATTGGCTAATGGAGTAGAGACTGTCTCATAGATTAAAATTTTTAAAAAAAGGAAAATCCAAGTCATGAAAAAAAAAGAAACTTGGTCAGTTACACTAAGGTGTACTACTGTAGGCCCTCAGAAATTATTTGAAGTGTATTTTTATTAATGAACTAATCTAATTATGATTTTAAAAAAAAAATAATTGTTAAACTTTAATAGCTTCTCAGAATCTCCTTTTCCCACTTAAGCACACACACTAATTGTATCACCCTCCCAGTAAAGCAAGTCTTCCTTTCAACTTGCTTCCAAACATAATTGATCTTCAATACCCCATTCTCAAGACAGCTATATTTGTTCATCCTGATATCAGACCAGTTCACATTGACTTTTCAGTGCTTTTAAAAGCCAACAACCACAGAATTCATCTCTGATTGAAATAATAATGCCAAAGAGGTTGACTTAAGCTGACTTCTTAAAAATAAGTTGTCAAATTGATTTGAACTTTTACTGTATATAAATTCTTTTCCAAGGGGCATAAAAGCACTGTGTTGTCACACTTCATTTATAAATTCTCACTTTTTCTGTGTTCCCAGTAATATGATCCATTTCAAGGTTAAATGATTTGCAAAAGGTGACTTCTGAGCAGTGAGAACAAGCTATATTTAGAAAGACTAATGCTCAATAATTCTAACTTTTATAAGAACATCTGTTCTTTTGAGGGATGTGAGCTATGTTAAATTCTTCCTGGTTATCTTTGCCTATATGTAAGATATATGGAGAAAGCCTATATGTAAGTAAAACCTCATTTTCAATAGAACTTGTATAGCATGACTCACTATTTTGCAAACTCTTGCATTCCTTCTGGTCAATGATATTTCTCAAAACATAATGATATATAAAAGAAAGTAATATTCCTGTATTAGGTCATTCCCAAATATCAGTTAAAATATTTTTTGTTTATTTATATCCACTTCAACTTAAAACAGAATTTTAGGTGACATGTAGAAATAGAGGCCACAAGTGAAACACTGGTGACAAAAATGGACACCAAGAAAAAATAAAGTTCAGAAAATCAGGAACAGTGATTTACTCAGTGGCGCCACGCTTGCCTCACAAGCACAAAGTCCTGAGTTCGTAGGAAGGAAGGAAGGAAGGAAGGAAGGAAGAAAATCAGGTGAACTAAGGGTCATTGTTCAAGATCACTTCCATAAAGTCCTGTCCAGATGTGGCCCAAATTTCTATGGGCCTGTACAGTTTAGCAGCCAGAGTAAGTCATGAAACATCACTGGCTGCCAGATTCATAATATTCTCTGGATTTAAAAACTGTTCCCTGAGAAATACAGCTTTTTCCATGGTGACATAGGAAGAGTATTATTCGTATCATCTCTGCAACAGTGGGAAAAGGGTGTAAGTGGCTATTTATAGATCAGCCACTGGTACAGGCTGAAGACCTTCTCCCCTACAGCTAGTGAAAGCGGTTGTGTAAGGCACTGATTGACCAGCATGTTCTTGACCCCTTCCCCAAGCACTGACAGTCTGAGTGGATGTAGCTAGATCCAAATTACTGAATACTAGAAACTGCATAGGCCAGCTGACATGTAGGTCAGAGGTGGACATTAATAGTCCAAGGGACCAAGTTTGCCCCATAACTATCTCATAGCTAAAAAATTTTAATAAGTTGCCATCATTAAAATCAGAACATACATATGAAAAAAGATTTTTGGCTTCTCCAAAACTCAGGTCTTATAACACCGGCCCATAGTCTCACATCTTAATAATAGCCTTAGGTGAGACTGGCTGATCCCTTCACAGGGGCATCTGCTCTCTTCACAGGGGCATCTGCTCTCTGGTTCCCCTCCCACACCTCCCACCCTGATAGCCTCAATCATTTATAATGCCTGCCTGCTCTCATAGCCCAAGGTCAGCCAGTCCTTTGTGTCTGTGTTTTCTTCTCTTTTTCCTTCTATGCTTTCTCCTCCATTCCCTTTCTTCTTTCTTTTTTTTTCCTTTTGGCTGAAGGATTTCCATGTATGAAATTATACAGAGAAGCTCAGACTACAGAGTAAAAATAGTGGGGCTGCTGATAGAAGGATATAAGCCCTCCTTCTCCCTGGCAGGTCAGCCCATGGATTTCCTCCACAGCCACCACAGAGAGACCTTTGTAGATACTCTTTACAGAGTACAAGCTAACATTGTTTTTCTAAGATTTCTCTTGCAACCAATTTTGGGTAAGAACTCAATTGCAAAATTCAAAGATAAATTCTCCTTATAGGAACATAAGAATTCTGTATGGTTAGAGAAAGGCAGATCCACGTGTTTGAAATCAAAGAAGCCCAACTGAGTAGTTAACCCATAAGTATGAGAGAAGCAAAACCAGCTATGTGCCTGAGTAAAAAGCCAGCCACCCTATTTCTGATTTTTTGTTTTTGAGACATGGTCTAACTACATTGCCCTGGCCAGCCTCAAACTCATTATCTTCTTGCCTCACTCTCCCATGCTACTGTGCCAAACAGGTGATTCCAGTTTCATTACAGAGATGGGCTAACCTAAAAGCTCCAGAATATTTCTGTGTGGAAATAAACATGTATGTGCACATACATGTACACATTCTTTAAAGCAAGGTATAATATTTCAGTAGTCAACACAGCCCAGAATGAGTTTCTTAAGCATTAATCTGTTCCTTTTATTAGGTCAATGACAGCATTCAGAGGAGACAGCAAAGTTATGAAACTGTTTGCAAAACACATAAAGGTAAGCAAGGGTGTGTGGTTTCTGATGGAGGGGGGGTAATAAGTGATCCCTAAGAGTTGCTCCCAGACCGTAGCTTTTTCCCTTCAACCTCTTCTCCCAGTCTCCTTAGCAAGTGTTTTCTCTGATTCCCTTTTTATATTACATGTTTAGCAACCATTCTGGTTTTCTTTGAATTTCATGCTTCTGTATACCTAGTTCACTACAGTAGACATTCCTCTGCTGTGCTCCGTTCTTGTACAGAAAGTAGCATTTGACCTTGGATTCACTGAGGGTTTACCAGTTTTCTAGGGTGATCTTCTTTGCTCTGAAAGTTGATCCTAATCAAGAGTAGCTGTATTTGTTTCCTCTCCCCTGCCCTTAACTTTGAAATAAAATGCTCTAAATTGGCCTGTGATTGTTTTTTACTGTTGTTTTGTTTTATTTGTGTTGTTTGTTTGTTTTTGTTGTTGTTGTTGTTTAAGGCAGGTTCTTTCTATTATTGCCCAAGCTGGCCTCAAACTCATGATCCTCCTGTCTCAGCCTCCTGAATACAGGTGGTAGCACACCACAATATCCAGCTGTTTGTATTTTTAAAACGAATGTTCCTTTCCTTTCTTCTTTTCCATCTTGGAATAGGTCCAGGAGCAGGTAAAGTTGTTGGAGAAGCGTGTGGTGCATCTGGGTGTAGGAACTCCAGGGAGAATTAAAGAACTCATTAAACAAGGTATGAAAAGAGGGCAGTGATGCTGCTACCCAGAGCTAGGAGTTTGCCTTACTCTCATATGAAGCTAAGAAACTACACTTGAGATATAGAGAAATGAGATTTCTGTTTAATTCCCCAGTGGGAAACTGAGACATTAGTCTCTGAAGCCAGCCAGTGAGTAAAATACAATGAGGAATAGTAAGGACTGCGGCAAACAAATGCATTTGCCCACCTAAACACACTGAGAATTCTGATTGCTGTAAGAAAGTTGTGGATCCACAGGGTCTTTGCCCTCCATTTTGCAGTCTCTGGAATTTGTAGAACTGGATGTGTTGGTATTTCCTTCTTGGGTAATTGAGTCTTAGTCACTTGAGATTCCCATTCTGTTTGAAGCTGGTATATAAAACATATTCAAGGTCCTTGTCCAGCGACACATGGTGGGCTGGGAAGTTAGTGTTTCCCTCATCTCCTCATGGTCTGACATGGTGCAGACTAAAGCAGACAGTGTCCCAAGCACTTACAGAAAATTGGTAACCTCTCGATCCCCCAGGAAGGTGCTGGGTCCCTCCACCTCTGCCACTAATTCTACTTCGCTTTCGTTGAGGAAAACTTAAAATAAGTATTCACGAGAGAATCTACTTTGTGTACGTCCAACACCCAAGTAGCAAAAAGGAATTGGAGAATTCTTCAGGCTTTCCCCTAAAGATTCAGAAAAAGAGAATCAAATTCCTGAAGAGCCAGAAGTAGTGGCTTAGGAAAAACAAAGAGAAAAGCACATTCTTAAGAACTTTATCACAGCAATGATGAAAAAGAATAGAACTTTCTTACTCATCTTTGAGTAATGTCTCCTATTACTCTGGTATTCTAGGATCTAAATGTATAGATGTGTTTTTTCAATTAGCTTTGTTGAATAGGCATTTAATTTAAAACATGAGGCTAAAATGTGGTTATTCAAAAGCAAGCAATTATGATTGGAGAATTTGTAAAAGAAAAAAATTATGGTTATTTAGCTTAATACTGTATTCAGTTTAATGCCATGTTTCTTTTACCTGTTACTAAGCTTCTTGTTCTTACTAAAACAAAAATCATTGCATGATGTTCTAATTACTAATCTCATGTATTTGATATTTGCTTAGATCTTTATACTGATGCCATTTTTACTGGCATCTGATTTGGAATAGAGCCATATTTTTATCCCTTCTAATTGCTTTAAAAAAAGTTAGACATTTTCCCATTAAAAGCATGAGCATTAATTAAACTTAATCTTTATCATTCTTCAGAAAGGGGAACCAAAGGTGTAATGTTGAAAATTTTTGAACAAATATCTTCCTTTTAGCTAAAGGAAGACAATTTAGTCTTGAAGGTTTAAACAGTTAATAATTAAAACTTTTTAAACAACGACAAAGCTGAGTGTGGTGGTGCACACCTGTAATACCAGCCCCTGGGAAGCTGAGGCTGAAGGATCATAAATTCCAGCCTAGTCTGTGCAACTTAGCATAACCCTGTGTCAAAATGTACAAACAAAGGGGCCAGCGATTTAGCTCAGTGGTTCCGCCGCCTGCCGCACAACCACAAGGTCCCGAGTTCAATCTCCGGTACCAAAAAAAAAAGTTAAAAAAAAAAGAACTGAGCATATTGTTCCATGGTAGAGGGGTTTCCCAGCATGTGTAAGGCTCTGAGTCCAGTCCCCAGTACTGAGGGTAGGGGGAGCAAACAAACCAGCAAAAAGATAAAATACTAACATAGAATCAGAAACAAAGATTCCATGGAGTACATAAAAAGAGAGGAATTTTCCTTGGATATGTATTTGATTCAATTTCATAAAGTATTACCTTTCAAGCTTATACTTTTAAAGTTGGAAATAAATAAAACATGATAAGCAAATCATGCCATAGCCCAGAACTATATCTGAAATCCTTGAAGTTCCTGCTACATTTCTAAAGATAACCAGCAGTATAATTGAAGAATTGTGTGTAATATTGTTAACTGATGTCTTGCTTCCTTACAACACTTTTTGCTTAGTGTCAGGCTGTCAGTTTTCAAAATAACCTTGTTTTAATAGGCATGTTTTTCTGAAATTTGTTTGAAATAAATGCTTATTTTTACAGTACACTAAAAAATATTCAAACAAAAATGCAGTTTCTATGGATAAAATATGAGTATTCTGGAGTAATCCTCCCCAACTATATTTCTCTTTTAGTGCTGTGCCCAAGTATTCCAGACAAAATCCACCAGAGAATTTTTAGTTTATTGATGTTCTCAAAGCCTCAAAAAAAATTTTTAAATCCCCTGCATTCTAGAAACTGAAAATCTAACAAAGTGAGACTAACAACACACAACTCATTTTATGTAGCTGTTTATGACTTAAGATGTTTATGTGGTTGATATATAAGGAGATTTTCCATACATTAGATATTCCATGACGTTGGGATCTGTACAATTACAGCCTGAATTTTGTTGTTTTAATTCAATAATGACAGGCATCTTCTAACTGTGGGTCAAGAAAAATGCAAAAAGCTACAGAGAAAAGAATCATTTCAGAGACACTCTCTTATTGATGTAATGAATATATTTCCTTTCAGTCTTTTTTCTACATATTTATATTTTTTATAAAGCTGACATCAGAGTATATATCATAGCTTTATAACCTACAGTTTTCAGTTACTATTTCTCATCAGACTGTTATAAAATAGGTTTATGTTTTCCTTTATAATATCTGTATAACACCCTATTGTAAAGTTATGTTTTTTGCAATATTTTTATGGTAGGATACTTAGGTCTTTTCTAATTTTTGTGATTACAGTGGTACCTCGGTTCACAAATTGAATTTTTTCAAGGTTCATGGAATAAATTCTGCAACCAGAATCATGGGAAGAATTTGGTTCATGAACCAAGGTACCAGGGTATACATAATACTACAGTGATCATCTTTGCAAGTAAGTTTAAGTTTCTAGTGTTTCTAGGGAACATCACAGAAGGAAAACCATTTTTGTCAAACAGTAAGCATTTTAAAGCTTTTATTATGTAATGCCAACTTTCATTCCAGACTTGCTGGACTTGTTTGCTTCCCACCAGCAGTGAGTTATTTTTAAAGAAAGACTATCACCCCGTTGTCTTTCCTAGTTTATTGTTTTTATTTTAATTTTGCAGAGAAAATTTTAAATAAGGTGTTTTAATTACAAGAAATATGAAAAAGTATTTGGGGCAGAGAGAGGAATATTGAAATAGCTAAGGTAAATGCTGAGAAGTACTGCAGCAGAGGAAGGCTTCAGGTGTTTGCAGGTTTGACAACCAACAACTTGGAGCAGTGGGAAGAACTGCGTGCCCAACTCCAAGACCTCTGAGGAGTGGACAATCCCTGAAGCCTCCTCCAGCCCCACATTCAATAATTGTTTTCTAGATAAAGAGGAAAACAGAGGGGGTGGAGTCTAAATTATTGACCAGCCTCATCAAAAGATAGCTGACTTTGAATAGAGCCCACTCATGGGGACTTCCTTTTCCGCCTACAACCCACCTGTCCTCATCCTTCTCCCCATTCATCTCCTCTGTTGTGCACACTCTGTTGCACTCAACTCCTCTGAAAGGACACTGCCTCCACCTGCAAGGTAGAGTTTATCACATTCCTGTCCAGAAGGTGTCACCACATTCTGGGTTTCATGAAATGGAAGCTTGGCCAGTACATGAGCTTGCATGGGGCAGACTTAACTGGAGCAGCCCCTCTGCCTTCCTCACAAGCAATGAGAAGACTTTCAGCAGAGCCAGTCCCAGATGCTGCCTCAGTTTCCCATCAGGCAAAGGCAGCGCTTAATATACAGAGATTAGTTGACTGGGGAAAGGACAGCAAATGAGGCAAAAAGCAACCAGAAAAGTACAGAGTCATTTTAATAGGTTTATGGTATGAGGTCTTTACTTATAACAGCTTTCTTGCTGTCTCTTTCAGGTGGCCTTAACTTGAACCCCTTAAAGTTTCTGGTTTTTGACTGGAACTGGAGAGATCAGAAGTTGAGAAGAATGATGGACATTCCTGAGGCAATTGTCTTTTACTTTTTTTTTTTTTTTCAGTTTGACTTGAGTTCAAACATAGCAATAAAGTCTTTGACATGGGGAGCTAGCACATTCTGACTTTTGAAATGATTTTTGTCTTTTAACTTGGAGGAACTACAGTTGCATGGGTTACTTCATCCCCTTGCACATAACTATGTCCTTCCCATGTACTGTAGGAATCTGCTTTGTTGCTCAGTAAATGACCAATAACCCCTCCTCCTCTAGGAAAACATAGGTACTTTACCTTTGAGAGCCTGGAAGATTTGAAGGACTTAGTACTTTTCCTGTGGTGTCTTTGCCTTTCCCCCTCATCTAGCAGAGGAAGAGGGGCACAAATTTGCTTCATTACTGCTATCTCCAAATCCCCCAAAACTCACTTACTTAATTTAGAAAGATATTTTGGTTTTGCAGACTGGGGAAATTCCTTGATGTCTCTGTGGATTAGGATCGGATGAGTGAATGCCTTTGGAGGGGACAGCATTAGCTCATTATATATTTATGAAAGCCATTCATTACCATCATAATGAGAAAAGTGATTTTGCTGCCCACCATGGGATTACCCATCCATGATAACACAGGACCAGTTTTTCACTCTAGTCTAATTTTTTGAAGTGGCTGTTAGGAAAAAAAAAAAGGTTTACTCAGTAACAAACATGGCTGCCAGTCACCAACCAGGAGTAAATATTGGCAGTAACTGTCAGAGACTTGGAATTACTCCTCCAGACATGCTGAATGAATTAATTTATCACATGAAACTATGTCCCTAGATTAACCAAACCTGATTTATAATGATGAGTACTCTCAGATATCAGTTCAGGTTTAAAGACAATTCACTCAGTTCCCTACACACACACACACAGAAAGAGAGAGAGAGAGAGAGAGAGAGAGAGAGAAACAAGCCCTGCATTCTGCCCCCTGGTTTTTAAAAACTAGTTAACAAATTTGATGTCAAGCACATGAAGCCATATTTTTATAATAACTTTAAACCTGAGTAATCTTCTAGTTTTCTGATTATAATAATGAGAAATAATTCCAAAAAAATGTTGTCATCATGGTGGTGCATACCTGTAATCCCAGGACTCTGGGAGGCTGAGCTAAGAATATCAGAATTTGAGCCCAGCCTGAGCAACTTAGCAAAACTCTATCTCAAAATAAAAAATTTTTAGGGGATGGGGATTTAGCTCAGTGGTGCCACTGCTTGCCTCGCAAGCAGAAGGTCCCAAGTTCGATCCTCGGTACCAAAAAAAAAAATTAATAAATAAATAATTTTTTAAAAGGCCAGGGATGTAGCTCAGTGCAGAAGCCCTGGGTCATTCATTCCCCAGTACTGTAAAAAAGAAAGAAAAAAATTTCTAAATGTTATCATCATAGTTATTTTTATTATGTTGATGCCATTAAAAGTTACTCTAAAGCAATAAAATTGGAATGTTGTGTATAATCTGGGTTATAAACAGCACACTTTGGAGTTCTTGAACCATGTCCATATGGCATTTTATTTATTTACTTATTTATTTATTTTTTGTGTGGCATTTTATTTTGAATGGCTGCAAACAGAAAGACACTTTTAATGAAATGATATTTTATAAAGTGCCTCTTTATAAAGGCACTTTATATGACTATTTTAATTTATTTGGTTTTTGGTTTTGTTTTTTGGTACTGGGGATCGAACTGGGGACCTTGCGCTTGCAAGGCAGGCAGCGGAACCACTGAGCTAAATCCCCAGCCCTGACTATTTTAATTTAGAATCAGATATGGATTAGAACTTTTGTGCTCTGATTCTGGCCAAAGCAGCGGTGTAAATACTCGGGACCCCAGATAGTTGAATTGTTTTAACAAGACCATCTTTGCTTGATCTTAACCTCTTTTTTTTTTTTCCTCTCATTTAGATAAGAAAGGAGGTTTTTGAACTTATAGAATTGGGAATACTCAACCTATGCAAGTCAGAATCCTTGAAGCTGGGCCTTTTCTAATTCTGGATCCTAATGAAGACTCCAGTTTTCACAATGGAATTTGCATCTTATTTAATGATGTTGGCACATTGCAAGTACTCAGTAAATCAACTTATTTTTTGTTATATTAGCTGCATCACCAGGTGCATCACTGGGAATACTTGATGGGGAGTCTCTGAAAGAAATGAATCTATGTTTTTGCCTACTCCCTCATGTAATAAAGAATCACCAGCTTGTGTGTGAACTTTGTTGAGCAGACTGAGATCTTTTGTCATTGACTGTGCAGGAGTCAAGAAAGAGTACCTGAGTAACCTGAGGCAAGCCCCTTCCCTGTCTGTGCCTTGGTCTCTCATCTACTTGAAAATGGGAATATCTCACAGGATTGTTAAAAATTTCATGATAGTACCTATGGGGCAGGTTTATAATCTGTGAAACAGGGTCCCAACATGAAGAATAATTAGTAAGAGCCACAAATGTGTGTGTAACTTTATGAACATTGGCAGTAACTGTTGAAGAGACTTGGAATTACTCCTCCAGACATGCTGAATGAATTAATGGTATAACTATTATAATTATTAATGTACATTAATATTATAATATATTTATAATATAATGATTATGCTATTATAACTATTAATAGTATAACTACAGCTGTCTTAGACACTTTTTCATCACTGGGACAAAACACCCCACATCTTCAACTTGAAGGAAAAGAGGTTTATTTTGACTCCCAGTTTTAGTCCATGATCAGTTAGCTACAAGGAAGATACAGGGTGCAGAAGGCATGGTGGAAAAGAGGTGCTCAACTCTTGACAGCCTGTAAGCAGACAGAAAGGGGAAGAGCCAGGGAGGAGGATATACCCTTCCAGATCATGCTCCAGGCCCACATCCTAAGAGCACACTGAACTCTGAATCATCAGTGGATTAATCCACAGATGTGTATAACACCCTCATGATCCAATCACCTTCCAAAAGCCCCACCTTCGAGCATATAAACCTTTTGGCAAACATTCTAGATCTAAATGCCATAAGGCTATCTTATTTTATTTTTTTAATTTTATATTTTGAAATAATTTCAGACTTAAAGAATAGTTGCAAAAATAACATACATAATTCCCACGTACACTTCCCCCAACTTCTCTCAATGTTAACATCCTACATAACCATGAAGTGGTTACCAAAACTAAGAAACCCTTTCCCTTCTTTCCTTTTCCCCACCCCTCCCACAATGGAAACAAACGTCTTTGTAAATAGGGAGGGGTAGAGGGGTTTAAGGGAGGGCAGGGGAATAGGGAAAAAAGTAAGAACCAAGATATATCATGTAAAGGTACAAATTCCCAATGATGAATGTCATCATATTGTATATATAAAATGTACCAATAAACTTGAAAAAAAAAAGAAACTAAGAAATCAACAGCAATACAATTAACTGTAGACTTTACTCAAATTTCATGAATTTTTCCACTGAGGTCCTATTCTAGTCTAGGATCCATTCCAGGATCATGTTATATTTCGGTATTATGTTTCCTTATGGTAATAGTTCTCATTCTTCCCTTCTCCTTCATGATCTTCATACTTTTGAGGCGGGGGGGGGGTACCGAGGATCGAACTCCGGTCCTTCCATTTGGGAGGCAGGCACCGGAACCACTGAGCTAAATCCCCGGCCCAATCTTCTTACTTTTGATGAGTACGCATTCAATTTGGATTCATCTCTTATTTTCCTATAATTTGATTCCATTTTTTCGCCAGAACCTCAGTAGTGGTATGTCCTCAATATATCATATCAAGGGATACATAATGTTAATATAAAAGACATTACCAGTGATGACACCCTTGATCACCTGGTTAAGGTGGCGTCTGCCAATTTTCTCCACAATATATATTATTTTTCCTTTTATAATTAATATCCATCTTGGGGGAGACCCTTTGAGGTTATGCAAATATCTATGTTTTTCTCAAACTTTTGCCCACCAATTTTTTTTCCAGTACTGGAGATTGAACCCAGAGAGCAAAGAGATTACTCCCAGCCCTTTTTATTTTTTAATTTTGAGACAATTTCACTAAGTTCCCAAGCTGACATCAAACTTGGATCCTTCTGCCTCAACCTCCCAAGTAGCTAAGATCGTGGGTATGCACTACCATGTCCACCTTGCCCATGAATTTTCAATATCCATTCTTGCCTGCAACAATTACTGCTATAGTGATTTTTCTATTTCCATCTTTCCTATTTATTAATTGGAATTCTTTAATTGGAATTTCTGTAAGAAACTTGATTCCTTTCCCCATTTAGTTCTTTGATTATTCATTTACATCAGTGTGGACTCATGAATATTTTATTCTATGATTTATAATGCAGTACCATTATTTATTTTGTTGATCAAATTCACTTAGTTATCTTACTCATTTTAATAATGTTATTCATTATTCACTCTACCAAGCCCTGTGTTTATGGCTTTCATTTATATTGTCTGTCATGTTTGGTAATTGAAATAGTCCTGAAGGGAAAATGTTATATAGACAATAAAACTGAATCTCAGAAGGGACATAACATTAGTTCAAATAGCAGAACACCACTAAAACCCAGGTTTCCCATTTCACTTCAGGACACCACGTTGTGTGTTTGAAAATTCAGACTTGTATACCAAATAAGATGATAAAGCAAATTTGTCATCCCTGATTTTTTTTTTTTTTTTTTTTTTTGGTACCGGGGATCGAACTGGGGTCCTTGTGCTTGCACAGCAGGCAGCGAAACCACTGAGCTAAATCCCCGGCCCTGTCATCCCTGATATTTAAAATTCCACATTTGAATTTTCTAAAGTTTTAAACCAGCAACTTGCTGTTTGTGCACCTCTGCAGGCCAAAAGCCACACACAAGGACTTGTGAAAGAAAAGTGTTCCACTCTCAGGGATCCTGACTAGAGCCTAACAAGTTAAGGGAAGGGAAAAAAGAACCTCCACAGAATGAGATTTCATTCAAGTTGAGGCTAAACCTAACCCTATTGTTATATCTTTTTAACTTGAGCAAGTGAGATTTCTCTGCCAATGGTAGGAAAGAAAATGGATCATGTTTCTTCCCAGTTCAAGTATTCAGTTTCCTATCAAGAGACGAATCTTACCCATTTTTTAAGAGAACAAGTCTGGAAATTAAGACATCTGAATTTTTTTTTTTTAAGACATGATCTCAGAGCATAGTTCAGGCTGGCCTTAAACTTGCTATGTAGCCCAGGCTGGCCTCAAACTCATTGTGATCCTCCTGCCTCAGCCTCCTAACTGCTAGGATCATAGGTGTGTGCCACCACACCTGGGCTTACAAATTAAGACAGTGTGGTCCATTTCTGTCTGAATGTAGACCAATCCACCAAGCTGCTATTGAGTTGCCAAAACCAAAAAAATGAGACGTGAACATTATGTGTGCATGTGTATGTGTGTGAGTATACCCCACACACATTAACTTCTTTCTGATTCTATATTTATTATATTTGCATCTAATAGAACAAGACAGTGAGATATAAGGCAACCCCAAGACAATGAGCTATAAGGCAAACCCCAATAAAAAATGTCTGAGAAGTCTATAACTGTGGTTAAAGAAAAATGAAGTCAAGAAAGTTAAAACCCACTCTTTGAAATTTTTAATATCATAATGGCTACTAACAAATTGTCACATAGGTATCAGTCTAGCACAGTCATTCTCAAGCAAGTTTGCCTTCTAAGGGGACATTTGCAGTGTCAAAGTATGTTTGGTTGCCTCAACTGTGGGGGTTAGTGAGTGACTACTGATGTCAAGTAGGGGCCATGAGTGACATTTAGCAAGCCAAGGATATAGCTAAACATTCCATCACAGCCCCACAACAAAGAAATACCTAGCCCAAGATGTCAAATAGTGTTGTGGTTTAAGGAACCCTGTTCTGAAAATATTGAAAAGTAAAGAATATCAAGCATATTCGAAAACTTAAACTAGATTTATTTGGAAGGGAGAAATAGGTGAATATAAAATGTACATCTGGTTATCTCTAGAGAATAGTCCCCCCAGAAATGTTTGTGCTTGCTACCTATGATAACTAATTTTTAGGTGGCTACTTGACCAGACAGTCGGTCAAACATTTTTCTAGACTTCCATGGAAGTGTGATATGAATAGTATCTAGATATATCCCCAAAGCCTATTCAGCCATAGGTGGGGCTTTTTTTTTTTTTTGGAGGCTGGGTCTAGGGTGTGTCATGCTGTGATCAGGGATGTGACACTGGGATTGATTCATGGTGTGATTCTAGGATTAAGGCTGCCCCACCCTAAGTGTGAATGCTACCTGTCCTAAGGTGGGTAGCCTGGATAAGATCGTCACTTGTCACTTGCTGCTTGCTGCCTTGCTGCCTTCTGCCTCCCATGAACTGTATCTCTGATACCCCTCTGCCATGCCACCCTGCCTTGGAGCCTGCAACTATGAACTGAAACCTCTACAAACTGTGAGCCAAATAAACATTTCCTACTTTAACTTTGGGGATTGGGTATTTTGTCTCAGCAAACAAGAAAAATAACTAACACAGAGTGTTTTCAGATGATATTAACATTTAAACTGATGGACTAAAGTAAAGCAGATTGCCCTCCATACTGTGAGTGAACCTCAGCCCATTGGTTGAAAGTTGAATGGCTGACCCTCCCCCAAGTAAAAGAATTCTCCCACCTGGTACTTTCTAACTGAAGCATTAGCACTTCCTGAGTCTACACCAGCTTGTTGGTTTTCAGACTTCAACTAGGACATTTGCTCTGCAGATTTGGACTTGGCCTATAAAACTGTGAGCTAATTCCTTATAATATATACATATGTAATCATAAAATCTGTTGGTGCTTTATCTCTGGAGAATGATGACTAATACACTTACATGTGAAGCTCCTGTTAGTTTGGGATCTTAGTTCAGTTTTGTTTTTTAGAAAAGCCTAAGAAAATACTGTTCTTATTGGTTTGTTACAGGAATGACCCTTTTACTAAGCATTATCTATGTAGTATATTACCACCCAACAATGGAACAAGCATCTAAGTCACATATATACTTGATATTTTGTAGGCCAGGCCTGCACATAAACCCAGGTTCTTTACTTAGTAAAACAAATAGTAAATGTTGTCTTCTCACACAAGGTTAATAAAAGCCATATTAGTCACAATCCCTCTATCAGCTTGAAATACCACGCTGAAAATTTACCATTGGTATTTTGCCTTTTTTCCAATTTTGCAGGTAGGAAGATTTTATTC